AGCAAGCTTCTTGTGTTTTGTTTATTTCAAAAAAGAAAGAAACATGAGAAATTCATTAACTAACTGAATATAGATGACATACTACAATGAGGGATAAATTGAAGTATAGGACAAACGTGGCTTCCTGGGCTTATTTTGAACACAAACAGGCGCCAACGTGCTTTCTGATAGAGAGGGAGAGACCGAAAAGCGCCCGGTTCTTTTGGAATGGCCGGGGAAGGCTGGACAGAATCAATTCTGCTTTCAAATTCCATTGTCTCGGAATTGGCCGTTAAATAATAGAATAAAATGGCTAACCACATAAGAAGCACAAAAAGTAATAGTTTCAAAAGGGAACAAACGGTGACGCCGCCGTATAGTGTACATCCCCGGAACCACTAGTTTTTTGGTTCTGCGTATCTAGCGCCAAAAGCGGTAAGTTCACCTCTGTTTGCCCATTTCCGGTTTGAAAAGGAACTGGATAGAATGCCACAGAGTTATTCTAGCATTATCATCTAATGTATATCTTCTACTATGTTGGTTGTTACCTTGTTTGATGATCATTGTTTTGCTTCTTTTAATTTCTTTAAGCACCGCGCATTAATTGATCTTTTCGTTGCACACCCCAAGATTATGCGATTCCTATAAAATCATCTTTGTACTTTTATCCGATTCATTACGTAATCTCATGAACTTGTGGGGCCTTGCAAATGGCAAGTAACTACGTAATTACGTCACCATACATACTAGTTGTGCAGGCTTAATGAGGTTTCTAAATTATTCATTCATAATATGCTTCCCAGAGTCTGATTAGACGTCGATTTCCAATTCTGGTTTGGATCTAATCACCAACTCAGCGGAAGCTTGGAAAGTGCAATATTGAGAGGCGATGCTTTAACAAATTCATAGTACAGAAATACTGATTCCAACCAACAGATCCCTCAACAATCCACTATCGGTGAATATGAGCCTTTCGGTTCATTGACAAATCAAACTTGCTGTGCGTATACGACACATATACCATTCAGGACTGGTGCGCGTCACCACGAGCGCTCATGATATTATCGTTGTGGGTGACAATCATTACGGTCACCAAATTTCCCAGCTCGATGAGTCGGCCGAAAAAGGCATCTTCACAATGATACAACTGTAATGTCTGTTACATTAACATATAATTGCTTTCAGTTTACACCCCAGGTCTTTGGGTTGTTATACTGGTTAAGTGGGTGAATTCTGTTTTACATGGACTTCAAGTTTCATAAAAATACATGATATGTACCAAACACTAATGCAATACAATGAAACAGGAGTGGGATACGTTTGTCCCCTTAGAATTTGCTTCAACAGATGCATGTTTTCCCAATGAAATGCCAAACACCAGCTAACGATGTTACCCGATTAACCAACTATAGAGTACTACTTTTGATCAACCCCAAGTTAAAAGGGCTAAGATGTACGCCTTGTTTAGGCTTAATATTTCCGATCGTGAAAACCATTAGGACTGGAGTCACGCCTTCGAAATCAGCAGCTATTTACGTCCACTACCTTTTTCGTTTTATGTTCTTTATTTTGGAGCTGCAATACAGCGAGAGGAAATCACTCGTACCAACCACATTTTCTACATTTTTCATTCAATTTTAACAATCGTTTCACTGTGCAGTGTAACTACAGTGAAAACGTTTGTCAGACAACTGTAATTGGTAGCATTTGTCAAGGCAGTCAAGCTTATCATTTATTTACACACATTCAGCACACCTCTATGGAAGCCGAAAGATTTTGATCCGCCACATAAACCTTTTCTGCTGAAGTATCTGACAAACCTGTCATAAATGAGTTCATATATCCCTCCGCCCTTCTCTCGATGCGGTTGACTGAGGTCAAGGCAATTTCCTCATCCAGAGTATTTAATATCTGATGACAAACTGTGAAGCATCTGCCGGATGATATCCAAGCGGAAATGAATCTTGGCTTGTGAAACTATTGTGAAGTCGCGTATACATGAGTGAAGGGGAAAAACTCATCAGATCAACTCAAATGGCTATGCCTTCAGTTTGATTGTTGCAACCTTAAGTCCTGGGGTAAACGTGCTATCGCGGTTGCGAAGATAACTAACGGATATCTCCATGACAATCAAGATTGATTACCTGTTTCCTGACTTATTTGTTTTCTAATATGAGGGGTGAAACGTGTGAACAGTCAAGCTTCATCTTCACATGTGGAGCTGGGGGCAAAAAAGGATAACCGCTTCCGTTCCGTGTGACCTTGCGGAGGCCTAAATTCCACCCGCAACTATGAACGGAATAAAAAGAAAGCATAATTTACTGTTTACTGGTCATCTATTTTTCTCAAGTGTTTTTATATTAAACCGATTCGTTCTATTTCGCATGGACAATTGTGGTGTTTACAATGCCTTACCACTGGCCATGAGTTAGGCAGCAAACTGTCCAATTTGTTCAGATAAAATCTGTTCTCCGACTTGTATTCTTTTGTATGTCATCCAGCGATGTGCGGTATCTGGCAAAGCATTTACGTCAAAGTTTCCACAGGCTTGCAATAATACCTGGAAACATTGTGTCACCAGATAAAATAAAGTATTCAGCCATCGCTTAAATTTACGATTTGTTATTCTGATCGATTCTGACTGAATCGTGGAATAAAATATCACAAAAAGGGATAACATGTTGTCTAATGTGAATAGAAAAAGTTTCATTTAACTAAAACTTTCTTGATAGCAGATTATCGGAGGCAATGCTCAGCATAAAACCTTGAGTTTGATAGCATGCATTTTATCAATTCCGCGTAAAAGTGTATTCACTTCTTTCCTACAATACTGAGGAAAGATTTTAAGCAGCATGGAAAACAGACAGGCTCTATCTACTTTATTCATTCAGATTTGTTGCAGAGACAGAAACGACAGAATGGCCAGTGGGAACAACAGTGACAATTGGAACTGCAACTGGAGATGATAGCAAATGAATTACTAAGGTGCAATTAATATACTATATTTTGGTAAGAATGCAGTGAGATAAATTTGAGTCAAGCTATTAGTATGTCCAAAACCCGACTGAAGTCACCATTTGCTTAGATTCTACTGTCCATATGCTTGACACTGATGTAAACTAAGCCAAAACTTTGCATAGCANTCAAATCCTAATTCTATATTGAATGAAGAAAGAGAGTAAACAATACAGGATTGAATTACCATCAACTTACCTGGTGCAATTATAAAAGAGGACGTAAAAGTCATGCTTTAACTCTAATCAAAGGGCGAGAAAATGACTGTGATACCTCTCGTATGCTATTTCCGACTATGATTAATATATTTTGCAGATGGTATCTGTGGTCAGCCCCTGGAAAGCCCCAAAGGGATCACCAGGGTGTTAAGACGTCCAAAACCTTTTTAAGCAATGATCTGTCGTGGCAGTCAACTTGAGCAAAATTATTCTAATCAAAGTTAGAAAAACCAATAATTCCATATGATCTCGTTACTCATGAGTGTTGACTTTAGACATTTTCTCTTGACCACTGGTGCAGGTATTACTATCTTATAATCAGTCCCTAATTCTCGGGTCTCCACAGGATTCTAGGAATGGTGGTGGTCGTAGTCGAGCGGTTTAAGTCACTGTCCCTCGTGCGCCTCGGGTTAAGGTTTGTGGTTCGAGCCTTGCTGACAGTAGCCAACTTTGACACAAATAGCTGTGCCAACATCCTGTTCAACACTATGCTTATCCTCAACCGGTTGCTGGGGGCTCTCATTCGACTTGCCATTCCACATCTCGCAGATCACTGAACCGCCGGTCCTCTGAACTACACGGTTTCTCCCTTCTGTTGTTCACCATTCAGTGGTGTGCCATTGAAACAGTACAAAATGAGTCACTTCAGTTATTTCGGGCAAATAAATTCATGCCCCCGGCGTGACTAATATCACTCATGAGCGACAACCTTTGAAACGCTGTGTCGCGGTTTGCTCCTCGTCAATAATAATTAACACGGCAAATTCATCGAATCCTCAGGTGTGTTATAAGCTAAGGGCGCTTATAGTTAAGGCAATGCAGCTAATTTGGAATTATTAATGAACTTTTCGATTTAATGTACAATATGAATCCCATTTGTGCAGTGAAACCTTTATTCGCGCGAAAAAATGATAGTTATAAAAATTCTGGAAATCTATCACCAAGAACGGACAATGTAACCATGAAATATTTCCTACAGCTTTGAAGTGAAAAACTTAAGCCATATAGAAATTATACCAATGCGTGCATAAAGTATAACTCGAGATAGATTCTGCAGTGCGAAAGACTTACTATCGCCAACGATGGTGTTTTCACTTGTGTTGACTAATTCTGGGGCCCATTTGCCATTCTTATAACTATCGTTGGTTGTCTCCCAATGTAAAAGTATTGCTATTATCACAGCCCAAGTGACCATTTAGAGGACTGCTAATATGCAAAGAAAAACGGTCCAAAGAAACCCAATGGAGGAAGATGAAAACCATTATTCAGTGATTCAAGATGCTACTGTTCTGTATCGCGGTCACTTTAAGTAACAAATGAGATAAGAACACTGTTGTATTCGCCAACCAGCAAACAGATCTGTCTAAAATAGGAAGGGAGTCTTGCATGGAGTTTATTTCAACGAAGTTATATTTGTAAATTAAAATACGAGTAGAATGAATTCTAGAAAATAGTAAATCTGATTGGGGTTGTACTCCACCCTAACGGGACATTATCAACTAGTATTTACCAGAAGGTATGAAAATTTCATTTAAAATTTAAGAGGACAGCTCCAGATTTGGAGGCTCTCTGGTCGCACACCTTTGTTCATCACTAATGAGATTCCTCTGTTTTGTCACGCATATTTCTCAGACGATCGCACTTCTGTATATTTAGCCCACTAGTGAGATACCCGCCGCGAACACCACGAAAAGATTGGTGTAAAAGAGTAATTCAGGCTTTATTGCAGATCATGAAAAGCTTAGCTGGAACATTACAATAACAAAAACACAAATTTGTCTGAGGTTGTCAAAAATAACCATTAATTAACGCGTAGGTCACTGATTTCTTGTAATCGTAGAATTCGTACAGAACTATAAACATCACAACAAGTGACTTACCCGTGTTAGCCTTCCCGAGAGAACTGTCACCGGAATGTGTGCTGCTGAATGAGATATTTCTCAAGAATAAGCGTCGGTACCGAACCAGAAGCAGAAGAACAATTGTGGTCAACAGCAGCAAAACAAAGACGGTGGACAAAATGACAACCATCGTGCGATCGGATATTCTTCCCTGACCCGCTCCCGCAGTCCACGTCCCGAGATTCCCTGAGCTTGGGTTGGAGTCGGATATTGAAGACGGTCCACGAAATGCCGGATGTTCAACAAATCCACTCTCTAGTTCAGTTGTTCCATCCGGGATGAGGCCGGGCTCGGCCGAACCAAGGACTTGTCGCACAACACGTACCGTCAAAGAGGTGTTTAGGCTTTGTGGTCTGCCGAGATCATAAGCACGCATGCGTAACAAATACGCTCGGGGTCCATCAGCATTCAGTGGAGGTAAATTTTCTCGCAGATAGCAAATTCCAGCAGTTTGATCTATTGCAAATGGGAACTCGGTGGTTGTTTTGGTACTGTTAGACAAAGTAGTCCGCTTGCGTTGTGTTAACGTACTGTTTAGCAAATCGCCTGTCCCATCCACAGCGGAAGCAGTTCCACTCCATGAACCTAGGTCATCTTCCACGCTTAGCAGACTGTATTCGATTGTTCCGTTTTCACCAAGATCGGGGTCCGTGGCGCGAATTGTGAAAACAGTATTACCGGCTATTAGCTGATCCGGTCCCAATGAAAACTGTGCATGGTTACGTGGACTCAGGATACGCGGGGCATTGTCATTTCGATCCAACACAGTAATGAGAACAGTAGCTGTACCTGTGAACTGCACCGGTTCGCCTTGTTTTATGCCTAGCGGTCCTTCCAATTTTGGAGCTAATGCTCTAGGATTGTCTACGGCCAATACGACAAACTCATAATGTGCTCTGCGTTCCCTATCTAATCGTCCTTTCAGGTGTATGATACCGGTGGTAGGATCAATCTGGAAATGTGTACTGATTTCTAAAGCCTCGTCGTACAGCTGATTCGGAATGGGTCTTGAAGCTGCCTGATCTGAATTAATGTGATCTTGAAATCGTGACCCAGGACCCACCGCCAACCGATAGGAAATGCGGGCAAATTCATCTTGATCAGCATCAGTTGCCCAAACCTGGCCTACTTTTATCAGGTCTACACCTTCCTCCACTTCAAAATGATAGTTCATTTCTTGAAACACCGGAGGAGAGTCGTTCAAATCTTCAATGATGAGCCTCACCTCTGCAGTTCCGGTCATTCTTGCATCTGTCACACCTGCGGTGGGGAATTTCGATTCCTCTTCAGGAACACAATCTATTGCCAACACCTGAAATACGACCTCACTTGTTAACTCACGATCAAATGGTCGGGTTAAGTACAGCTGTCCGGTCAAGCGTTCCAGTTCGAGGGATGAGCTTGGATTTGATACAAGTCGGTACTCTATGGCTGCGTTCCAACCCTCATCTGCGTCGGTTGCATGAACACGACCCACGTAATAACGTTCTCGTATAACTCCCAATTCCGTTGGTTTCATAGCAGGATGGTTTTCCGGAACATGGAATGTGTAGTGGGTTTGTTCGAATACTGGTGCATTATCGTTTGCGTCCTCAATAACGATACGGATGGGCACGGCTGTCGTCAATTGCCCTCCAGGTAATTGACCTCGTGCGTTGTCTGTGCATGTCAGAGCGAATTGAACAGCCGGCATTTGGTGTGTAGAACCGAATTCGCGATCTAAAGGAGCATTCAACATTAGCTTGAACATTCTTGTGGGCAGCACAGCCCTCTTGGTACGCTTGTTGGAGCTGTTGGAAGGTTCGTTTGCTGTAGTAGTTATAGTGTTCCCTTTCTGTGGTTCATCAGACATCGGTAGGTTACGTCTAGTCCAAGAACTCGAAAGATCCCCAAAATGTCCCAAAGTGGAAATGTCCTCCAAAGTAAAGCGACTGTCATTTGTATTACATACTATATCTGCATCTGCATACAACGTGTCTTCATCAGTCACTGTGACCTGAGCTAACATGGCACGCCCAAGATTTTCACGAACTTTACCCCAGGCTGAAGAACCTCCGGGAGCAATGTGAGACGAACGTCCCAAATGTTCGGCTTCTCTGAGGTAGGAGACAAAAATTTTTGGTGCGTGATCATTAACGTCAGTGATCTGCACGGTAACGGGTACACGGGAACTCAAAGCTACCGGTTGACCATGGTCAAACGCCTCGATCACAAATTCCAGTCGGGCACCGTCATCGTTATTCGATGGGACGTTGGAGGGATAAGTACCCTGAGTTATTCGTTTGGCGGATCCTGACAGCATGTGTTTCCGCGCGATCTCCAAAGCACGTGATGCAGCTTTTTGAATCTTATCTTTTGACTGTCGACGTATAATAAGTCTACCGTAGGTGGTATTAGGCCGTTTGAGCGAGTGCATTGTGTTACCTACACTAGATGAATCTAAGATCACTTGTTCAACAGCGAAGTAATTCGCTGCCGCCACCTGTGCCTCTGATAATCCGGCAGTAGAAGAGTCTCCTGTTTTTCTAATAGATCCAGTGGATAAACCATTCCCTGAGTCCGGTTCGCCAGGAATTCGAAATCCAATCCTGCTGTTACCACCGGGACCATCCGCGTCAAAAGCTGAGAACTCCAAGATTACATGGCCTGGCAGATCACCTTCCGATAGCTTTCCTGAGTACCAGGCTTGATTGAATTTCGGAGCGTTATCATTTAAATCCTCCACAACCAATCGAATGGGTAATCGACCGGTACGTTGTGGTGATCCCCCGTCAAAGGCAACTAAAACAAAATGATATACCTCTCGTTCTTCACGATCCAGAAAGACGGGACTATTGCTTGTCGACTTTCGGCCTGTCCTAGCATCGACCGGGATGAGCCAAAGTTGACTAGACTTTGGCTGAGAATAAACTGAGGGCCTTGTATAGTGCATTTCTGAACTGGGTCCAGGTTGCTCGCTCATGGCGGAACCTACCTCTAATCGAAACAGATAAGCATCTTGACCCTCCAATCTGTAACCACGGATGCCGTTCATGCCATAGTCCGGATCCTTGGCTAGAGGTAATGGAATCCGTAATTGTGAAATCAAAGGGAGTTCCTGCTGGATAGAATCAATGGGATGTTGTGGTAAGATTCGACTTGCTTCCGGTACCTTTATTACATATTCTGCGTTATCCGAATCACTCAGCCCATTTACGTTGAACGATGGAGCATGATCATTCACATCTTGAAGAATCACGTTTAACATACCAAACGATGGGTTTGTTGGAGATCCATGGACCACGGAAACTTCCAATACGCAATCTCCCGGGTCGATTCCAGTCCGCGAAAGCTCAGTGGATGACTGAATATAGTCTTGAAATTCAATCCCACCCCGATCGATGGCGATTGCTGTTTCCGGAAATTTGAACTCGGTTGGACAGAGGGCATCCCTATCGGGTGGGGTTTTTACAAGCAGGCTTCCTCGAATCGGGTTGATGGTCAACCAGCTGGCGCTGGGCATTTCAGCATTCCCGATGGCAAGCAACAAGCCCTCGGTTTTGGACATACTGTCATATCCGGTGGCTGTTGACTGGGGAGTTGTACCGCTTCCATCGGTCAGGAATGCAATCAAATCCGGAATTAGTATGGTGCCAGCTGGGGTTCCCTCACGGACTCGAAGTATATGTGGGGTAGCCGAAACAAGACAAGTTAGAAGAAATTGGGACAACGCCACTAGTTGTGGACTACCACACATGGGTAGATTGTACACTGTAGGAAGCACTGTGTGAAGTGTGATAAAACCTTTAGTAGAATTGGGTAATCTTTGCCAAATCGCGCGTCGGGTTAGTCTCTTTGTGCTGATGTTTGAAGTATTGCATCTGAAAGCACAAGAAGGTAAACAACGGTGGAAATGAATCAGAACACAATATACATTTCGGTCTAGTTGTATTATTTTCACAGGTGTACAATAAGGAAACGAGCTAAATAAAGATCAACTACCCAGAAAAATGTTGAAAGGTCACATGCACAAACAGGTTATTTTTCCTAACCATATTTGATTTGCTCCATCAGGTTTCAAAACGTGGCGATTTCAGCTTACTGACCAAATTGAAAAAATTGTAATCCTTAGTTATGTCAAACGACCAACTATTACGATCAGAGCTGAGCAAAAACTCTCCTGGCTTCACTGAAATCGGCCAATAATCAATGAAATAATAGATCATGGAAATTACTGAAGACCAGTTAATCTTGGGGGACATGTAACATTATAAATTCTATAAAAAAAACATTGATTCGATCGACAAAAAATGTTACTACATTTGTGATGACGTTTACCAAAAATAACGGAACCATTATTGCTCTTTCGTTTATATGACGAGAGAAAACGTAACATAACATGAATAGGACTGATATTGATCATCATTTTCCCCTCCTCTCAGTCAGCTGCCTGTGCTCAATAATGATACAAGAAGAATGAGGTATATAGACGTTTACTTAATTGCAGTAAGACCGGAGGACAATGTTTGGTTGTTAAGTGGGCGTTTGGTTGAGCAAACGAACAATGGAGGCGTGATTTTGAAAAGCTTCAGAATCAAACATGTGGGCATGAAAACGGTTAAGTAGTTATAACCGGCCAGCTGCTGTCGAAGGTATATTCAAAACAGAATGAGAACGGATTTAGGCGGATCATGCAATAGGAAAACACACTGGGTCGAATGAGCTATGCAGTATGGAAAGAAGATGGATCCGTTTCAACCAAGGATTGTGGCCAATCAATGAGGTGAGGGGTGCAGACATCGCGATTACCAAGTAAATAATAACTTTTTGCTTATAAATAACAGGCTTCAAAGGGTTCGGAATTTGACAATGATATGGCAACTTGAACATGCCAACGAAGTGTTCCGTACACTACTCATGTCTTGGTAATGCTCAAAGTGCTATTATTATTGCAATATTCTTATCTGTTTAATGTGTGTAGCCATCTGGATGAGAGTACGAGAAATCGATGATCGATACCAATCCTACCCAATAAAATATTGAACTGAATAAGGTTCACATCTAGATATTTTACGTATATACACATATATTCACGGTTCATATGTGACAAGGACAGATTTCAACCTAGGATAGAGAAAGATATTTTGCTAACTTGGGTATTGCTCACTAATTGCACAATCACTACGATTGTTACTAATAACAACAAAGCTATTGCACCACTTAAGCATGCAATGCCTTCACTGTTTTTGATAACTTAGACGGCAACCGAATGAAAAGCTCACTTACGTAATTTCATCAAATTCTTCATTTTAGTGAAAATTTATCGAAAACAAACGGAATTTTCACCGCAAGCAAAGCAATGCAACTTCCTATGGACTTTACTGATTGAAGCCACTTTAATACTCTGGATAAGATTTAGAATCATACAGGTGTCTGTATTATTCCACTTGCTAATCACCTATGTCCATAATTAGTCCTTCATTGTGTACAATCTGGAATGGTACATTTTACAGCTAGGACTAACCCAAATTGTTTCTTTTGGTTTCAAATCTGGACTGAACGCAAATCACATCATTGATTTCGTCCTGCAAACCAATATATTGTTAGATAATACTTATGTATTATGGCATTATCACTTTGGAAAACGGCTTCAGGAGGACCATTCGATACCACTGCGGCCAATACATGAATAGATATACCAGGATCTTGCACCCCAAGTAGTACAAGTCCAGTTGGTCAGTGAGTAACCTTGTGTCATCACCGAGTTTCAATCGCTAATCGGTTTACTGAGGTACCGATCTTCTTTCCACAGATCGTCCCAGTAGTATTTCTAATCATAGAGTTCCTTTATATTGAATTTATATTGAATCCAACGCATCACTACCGAAAGAAGACATATGTCAAGGGATGTTAACATTTTGTTCAACCCTCACAATCGCCTACGTAAAACAAACAAGCACATCTAGAGCACATTGGATTTGTAACTCACAGTAAGCGACCATGTACAGGTAGACAGAAGCTATTCGAATTAAAAACAGGAGGTCAACTCCACGGCAAGTTAACTGATCGCACCAAAAACGGGGTGTCATGATTTGAGTAGTAACGCCTCAATTATTGCCAAGTTTTGCATTGCAGTTGGACAACAAGGGTGTGGATGAGGAAGCGGGATCAATTATGTGTTGGCCTGTCATGAGGTGTTATGCAATTAATGACCCCGGCGTTACGTGTGACCGCTTGCTTACTGAGTTTGAGTGGCGTTCTCGACTTCACATACCACTTTGGAATGTGTTCGGCCATCCGTTGTGGTATTTGATATGGGTTCTGGTTATGTATACAGTGCGCGAGACAATTGAATTGTCAACCATGTGTAAGTTTATACAAATCCATTCTACCAGTAGAAGCAACAAGTCGAAGTTGATCGGCTGGGAATGTGCGCTTCTGAGCTGGCATTAACTTTTTTGTTGTAAATTATCTAGAACCATACACCCCATCAATTTTTACGTTTTCGTTGTATCGTTTGTACCGAGGCGCACGATTCAAGCACCGTTTTCACTTCCGATGTATGACTCACGGTGTTTGAGGCCATACGCGGCGATCTACCCTTATGTATTTTCTGACGTCAAATCCGTTGCTGACCGGTTTTTAGCCGTGTCCGCGTTAAATATCGCCTCATAATGGATCGGGACCTATTGCACTATTTGACAATCTCACATGTGCTGAAAATGGTCTCACAAGTAGCATCAGTTCGGGATTTGACGTAAGCCTCTTCCATCGCGCCATGTTAAACAACGGCTTTTCTTCCAGTTTCATTGAGAATGATGTGAGCATATAACCACCGTCAACAGGGTGTCCCATGGACGTCTCTAAAATCAATCTGTCGATCACTGATTCATCACGGTTGGCAGTTGCCATGCAAAAGTATGAACTCGGAATGCCTATCGCACCCAGTTTTAAACCGATTTGGGTGTGCACTACTTTTGACGGTGAAAAGTCTGCTTTTTTATTTCGATATCTTTTCGTTACGATAAAAGATAACTTGATCAACTTCTTCATTTCGGCTATTGATTCGATTGATATCTGGATTCTCAAATGTGGCAATAATTTTGCGTGTGAAAGCGGAGACAATGAAAAATATATTGGGAGTATGCAATACATTTGTCGCGGGGTATATAATTATCTCAATCTTCAAAATCAAACTTTGTTTTCAATTACCTTTATTATGAATAAATTACAAAATCGAAGTTGGGTGTTAGTTTCGTCCTTTAGCGATAGAAACTCAAGCGAGAAAAAGTAAACAACCAGACTTCGTGTTATGTGTGCCTCAAAAGGTCAACGATGTTGAATTCGAGGCGCGTGGAATATGCACGTGTAGCTGTCAGATTTGCGCGATATGGTCCCCTCGGTTAGCTGCACTTGCTCGGCTTAGTTTATTTGACTCCAATACTTAAAATTTCTCGAAGTATAGAGTATCAAGCTTGGATGAGTCCATTCGGTTGTTCAGAGGCACCAGGCACTCTTGATGGTCTTCGGTTTGGGTTTCACTCCTTGGGAGATCGTTAATTCCCCACTGTTTGTACGCCTTTAAATGCGATGGGAATGTTTGTGATGACCAACAAAGACCACTGGACAGCTGTTTCATCCTGTTTGGGACTCGTCAGCAGTGCGTACGTTTTGTGTTCCTGTCAGAGCTCAGGGGTAAGGGTTTGAAGTCCCGACCCGACTGATCGTAGTTCGAATTCTCGAAGTATGTTCTTGTTGTTGTTTGTTGCGGTGAACATTCGCGTTCTATTTGTCGCATCCCCTTTGTCAACGCGGTTTCTTTTAAACTGAACAGTTTCGTATCACTAAGTGGCTAATTATAAACGCGCACAAAGTCGACGAGCAGTTCAAAGAAATTATGTCAGCTCAAAGGTGCGTAATTTCACGCGGTCCCATTCGAACTGTTTCCAAAACCGCGACAAATGTTGCCACCATTAGTTGGTTGAATGCGTGTCTGTACCAACTGTTTTGAGTTGGAACAAAAATTCAGTATCCACAAAAGTGTGTGTGCTTTTGCCTATTGCCGACCTCAAGTCAACTGATTCGGTGCTTAAGGACAACGAATAATAAAGCAAATGTCCGTTCCGGTGACCACTTGACCTTCCCAAATGAACATAGGTGAACGGTTGCGTGACAATCAATTACCCACCCACAAACCGATATAACTTTACTGGACTTTGGGGAATTGATTTTATAGCCTAGCTATGGTTCAAATAGCTTTTCAAATTGGTGACCATATCGTGCGCAGAGTGAGTGATACGAGTCGATCAAGTGTACTCCGAACCCACCGAATGCAGTATCCAGGGTACGACAAAGGCTAGCTAACTGTTTCTTCTTACTGGCTTGCAATCATAGTCGATCAGAAACGGAGTTGTATAAATCGATCAAATAACAAGTTACTTTTCAAATTATCCAACCGCATTCGAATGCGTTTAATTAATCTGGGCTGATTTGATTTAAAAATTTTTGAAATTTTCTTCGGATAAACTTAACGTGACTAAAAAAGTGGAAGTTTCAGCCTCAAATAAATATGTATATCAGATTTATACCAAAGATTGGTATGTATTATTGTTCCAAATGAAATGATTAATAAAAAATGAGTCATTCATAATGTCTGTACAACATGCTAGCTATAATGATCATCTTACTCTCTAGCTAAACATAACCAGTCTTGCCTTCTTTCCCTTTTTTTGAAACAAAGTTAAATTGGATTACAAT